AGTTACAGGTAAGTAGAGTTACAGATACACAGTTACAGGTAAGTAGAGTTACAGACACATAGTTACAGGTAAGTAGAGTTACAGACACATAGTTACAGGTAAGTAGAGTGACAGATACACAGTTACAGGTAAGTAGAGTTACAGATACACAGTTACAGGTTGGTAGGGTAACAGATACATAGTTACAGGTTGGTAAAGTTACAGATACATAGTTACAGGTAAGTAGAGTTACAGATACACAGTTACAGGTTGGTAAGGTAACAGATACATAGTTACAGGTAAGTAGGGTTACAGATACATAGTTACAGGTTGGTAGAGTTACAGATACATAGTTACAGGTTGGAAGGGTTACAGACACATTGTTACAGGTAAGTAGAGTGACAGATACATAGCTACAGGTTGGTAGAGTTACAGACACATTGTTACAGGTAAGTAGAGTTACAGATACATAGTTACATGTTAGAAGAGTTACAGATACACAGTTACAGGTTGGTAGAGTTACAGACACATTGTTACAGGTAAGTAGAGTTACAGACACGTTGTTACAGGTAAGTAGAGTTACAGAGACATAGTTACAGATTAGCAGGGTTACAGATACATAGTTACAGGTTGGTAGAGTTACAGATACATAGTAACAGGTTGGTAGAGTTACAGACACGTCGTTACAGGTAAGTAGAGTTACAGATACATAGTTACAGGTTAGTAGAGTTACAGACACATAGTTACAGGTTGGAAGGGTTACAGATACATAGTTACAGGTAAGTAGGGTTACAGACACATTGTTACAGGTTGGTAGAGTTACAGACACATAGTTACAGGTTGGAAGGGTTACAGATACATAGTTACAGGTTGGTAGAGTTACAGATACACAGCTACAGGTAAGTAGAGTTACAGATACATAGTTACAGGTTGGTAGAGTTACAGATACATAGTTACAGGTTGGTAGAGTTACAGACACATAGTTACAGGTAAATAGAGTTACAGATACATAGTTACAGATTTGTAGGGCTACAGATACATAGTTACAGGTAAGTAGGGTTATAGATAAGCAGACAGTAATTAGACATTAATGTTAAAGATACATAAAATTGATACAAGCAGATAAGGTTATTGTTAATGGTTGCCAGGGTGATAGTTACTGGTTGCAAGGGTTATAGCTACAGGTTGCCAGGAAGATAGTTACTGGTAACCAGAGTTATAGCAACAAACTGCCAGAATAATAGCTACAGTTGCTCAGGTTATAATTAGAGATTGCCATGGTTTATATCACAGGTTACAATTGCCAAGGTTATCAATTCAAGCAGAGTGAGTTACAGTTACAGGTTGCTAGGGATATAGATATAGGTTACCAGGGATACAGTTACATGTTGCTAGGGGTACAGATATAGGTTGCCAAGGATACAGTAACTGGTTGCTTGGGGTATAGATATAGGTTGCCAGGGATATAGTTACAGGTTGCTAAGGGTATAGATATAGGTTGCCATGGATAAAGTTATAGGGTGCTAGGGGTATAAATAAAGATTGTCAGCGATACAGTTACAGGTTACTATGGGTATATAGATATAGGTTGCCAGGGATAGAGTTACAGGTTGCTAGGGGTATGGATATAGGTTACTATGAATACAGTAACAGGTTGCCATGGATACTGATACATACGACAGTTGAGGTTCTGGTCCTCATCACTATTGTCACCACAATCGTCATCTCCGTCACACATCCAGGACTTGGCAATACAGCGTCCATTTTTACACCGGAAGCGCTCATAAGAACAGGTAGGGGTGGCTGAAGATAAAGTGTCATGTTGGATTTTAATATTAGGAGTAATTGGAGCCTAACACAAAGTCTAACAAAGAGGGAAGGGGGGTGGGGGGCATAATGATTGAAAACTGACGAGGTCCCACGCCATGAAGCGTCCTCTGAGGCTCATCATGCAACAAAGTGACGATACCAGGAGATAATACTTTAATGCTACATTACTCGGTAAAGTTCTGATTGTGAACGGTTTGCATCTCTTCTTCACCCATAATCAAATTTAACATCTTACACCCATAAAACTACACCCATAAAACTACACCCATAAAACTACCCCATAAAACTACACCCATAAAACTACCCCATAAAACTACACCCATAAAACTACACCCATAAAACTACCCCATAAAACTACACCCATAAAACTACACCCATAAAACTACCCCATAAAACTACACCCATAAAACTACACCCATAAAACTACCCCATAAAACTACACCCATAAAACTACACCCATAAAACTACCCCATAAAACTACACCCATAAAACTACACCCATAAAACTACCCCATAAAACTACACCCATAAAACTACCCCATAAAACTACACCCATAAAACTACACCCATAAAACTACCCCATAAAACTACACCCATAAAACTACCCCATAAAACTACACCCATAAAACTACACCCATAAAACTACACCCATAAAACTACACCCATAAAACTACACCCATAAAACTGAAAAATTCCTAAGTGAAGCTTAATTGTAGGTAGCTTCCCCAATTTTTTTAATTCATCTTTGTATCGAATAAATCTCAACCAAGTTTCCTCTCTGCTCATGTTGATTCAATAATTGTGTGGAAACTTAAGCAATCAGAGCTCAATTGAATAATCACAGATTTTTCTTAACTTCTAAATCCTCTGCGTATGTAAGATATATTTTATAGGTGTCCCAGGAGGAACACCAGTGACATGTACGATTAGGATGTCATAATCAGATGACTGCATTTTATCAAGACATATCATAATTGAAAACGCAACAAAATGTTGTTTCACTGGCTGTCGTAATCCTACCATCAACAAGTGTCATCACCTCAAAACCGTTGTACAAGTTTGCCCTGAAGGTCTTGCATGAATCTTTATATATGAGGTAGACCTATGGTATACCATACTTTTTTTCTGTTCTTCCCAAATATGATATTAGTTTGTATATACATTATCTAGAAATTCTGCTATATTTAGTGTTCTTTCTGCATTGTCTACGTCCTGTTTTTCCAAAATTTTGGTTAAGAGGTGGAAGAACTGAGGAGTAAATCATTAGGTATTAGGGATACGGATGTTCTACCCTGGGGTGCAGAATTTTGTGTCATAACATCAGTACAGCCTCAGTTCTGACTCAAATTCTTCACCCTCGGATAGAGTATCTGCATATTTCTCATACAGGTTCCTACATGTGATAGACTCTTTTTATCCATTTTCTACATCGTCGCTATATATATAGACTCTATCAATCCATTTTCTACATCGTCGCTATATATATAGAC